TTTTTCTCCTGAGGAGAATGACTTATTCTCCAACTTTGTAATTGTTTCTCTCTATCTATTCTTTTAATTAAGCTTCTTCTTTAATCTTAAAAGAAAAAATTGTAATGCCTCCAGGACGAGACTGTACAGTTAGAGTATGGATTTTGTAAGCTTTAGAGTCTACTCTTGTCGGTCCTTTTTTACTTAGCTCACCCAGTTTGCCACTATAGTAATGTAGCATTGACTAACTTTTGGAAGGTGAAACCTACACTAAGGTCAATGTTCATTTGGACTGCTGTTCTCCATTGAATCATCATAAAATGATCTTTTTTAAGCATACAGACCTAATAGCTTTGTATTTTTGGCTGTTTATATTTTTGGTCTCATGAGTCCAGTCTCATAGTCACTTGTACTATTGTGATACTGCTTGGAGGTGTTGGGCTGGGCTTTTAACTTCTTTGGTATGAGTTGAGTTTACTCTCCTTCCCAGATATTTTCATTTCTTTTTTCTGCATGGTGTCTCTTTAGCTATTTCAAAAAACATTGGGTTGTTCGCTTGTTTTGAATTTTTTCTGTTGTTGAGGATCTCTTATCCTCATATATTTTCTTTTTTTCTTATTAATACTTATTATATTATTAAAAAAATTAGGAATGCATACTGATGCCTAATGTCTCTTTATCTTGATAGTTGTTAGATACCTATCTTTGTGGATAAATTTCAATTATTGTTTTCTCAAGACAGGTGATGCATTGAATTCTTTGAAGTCCAAGTTAAATGACCCTGACAATGTGCTACAAAGTTGGGATGCTACCCTTGTCAATCCATGTACATGGTTTCATGTTACATGCAGTGCTGAAAATAGTGTAACACGAGTGTAAGTTTCTCTACTTGAATTACTTCCTGTAGGTGATCTTCCTTTCTATTTGATGTACTATGTATCTTTCTGATGGCAATAAACTTCCATTTATTTCACCTAGTGATCTTGGAAATGCAAATCTATCTGGTCAACTGGTTCCAGACCTTGGGCGGCTTCAAAATTTGCAGTATTTGTAAGTCATTATTTTATTAGGAGTTGTTTGATCTATATGTTTTTTTGCAATTATGGGGATTGTTATATTGAGTTTTTAACTTCTGTGCTTCATCCTCCATTGGTTTGAAGGAGTGAATGCCTTGAACTCATCTTTTTGCTTTGCACTAGTAGTGGCTGAATTAATTCCTCTAACTTTTGGTGAGCTATAAACTCAATTAAAGTGAAAAAATATCTGTAAATAAATGTCCAATACGAAGATGTTTCATTATTAGCATTTCTATGCCCTACATTAAAATGACTTGCGACTCCTAGTATTCACTTTATTCTTTGGTATATGACTCCTAGTATCGACTTTGCTCTTTGGTTTACGACTGCAAATTTTTTAGCACAGTTGTGGGGATGTAGCTATTTTAGATGCCTTTTTAGTTTTATGGGAAATCTTGTAGCATGGAGAAATAATTTTCTTTTTTTTTGTTTCTTCTTTCAAAAAAATGTACAATTTTGTTCTTTTTTTCTGTTATTTTGGATGTTAGGTAATAGTGCTGTTTATTGTCGAGATTGCAGGAATTAATATAAATGTAATGAAGGATGAGCCTCTTTAAACTCTTAACATTGTCAACTGGGCTAAGCCTTGATACTAAACTAAGTGTGATCATCTACTAAAAAAATATAGGTTCTCTTTTCTATGGCTATCAAACCTGTTGAAGTAGACTCAACTGGATGTCATTCGATTTTGTCTGCAGAGAATCCTTAATAATTAAGTGGCTCCTGTATTTATTGTAATGCTTCTAAAGAGATATTTTTGTACCTTTTCCAGGAATGTCAGACATAACATCTTCCTCTTCTCCCCAATTATCGTCTAATTGGTTAAATTATGTGCTCGGGGCATCTCTCCTTATTTTAGTTTTTGTCTGTTTTATCATTGCAGTTACTTTAATATCTACCCAAGATATTATTACTAAAATGTTCTGGTTGCATTTGAAGCTATCCCATTAAAGGCTTAAGAACATGTTTTGTAACATTCCAATTGTTTTCTTTTCCACCAAAAAAAAAGCCCTAGGAGCTTAGGACCAACCAGTAGAACTGTGGCAATTGCGGCATCCTTTTGCAGCTATAGTTAATAAGAGCTGTTAGTGGATGAATCACCCTTGGTTAATTTTAGATCACTAGTCTAATATATTTTTTTTGGAAATTATACAAACACACTGAGGGGTTGCAACCCTTGTACAAAAGCTTTACAAATCTATCAAAATGTCGATCAAATCCCACTAATCCTCACTTGTATAAAATGAATGATTTTTAATTAAAAACTTAGTGTCTAAAACCAAGTGTCATGATTTAATTAGCTAGGGCTATTAGAAGGCTACTCAATTTCTATTAGTTATTTTCCGTTGGTTATTTGTTCTCTTTTGATTTGTATCCTGGATATGCTAGAATATTCATAAGGCCAGTTGGTGTCTGACTGTATTGTATGTTGCCCTTTTCTTACCAATTATTGATTCTATTAGTAGGTAGTTATGCAGCAGTATGGAAATGAGATTTATCGAGAATCCTAAATTTTCTCTCCACTGTGTCCTCTGCTCTTCTCTCTCTTCTGCAATTCTCTGCTTTTCTTCTTTCTCCCTCATTCCTTCTTCTATTCTACTCTCTTACTTTCCATACCCAATCCTCGTAATCCCTAATGAGTCAGGCTCCTAACGCCAAGTATCGTTGATCCTATCAAAAGAGCATTTTATGCCCTCAAAAGCCCTTCTAGAGACCATTCTATGCCTCAAAACTCTCGTGTCAAAAAGATCACTAGTTTAATATGTGTATATATATATATATATATGTTGCTCACCTCCTTCACAGTAAAATCCTATATTAAGTACTGGAAAAGGAACTTGTGTTAGCCTCTTTGTTGTCATTATTAATAGATTGTGTCTTGCTTCTCAGTCCCATGTATTCTTTTACTGTATTTATGTAGCTGAACCTTCGTAGCATTACCTGAGTCAAAATATAAATAGTTTGTCGATGTGTATTTTTAATATTTTCCTTCATATCATCCCATAATACCATCTAATTATTTAAGATTATGAGCAGTGATAGTTTCCATACTATGTCAAACTATAAGCAGTTTGTCCATGTGAAATTTTAATAGTTTCTTTTGTATTTTCTTTCATATTATCCCATAATACCATCTAAATATTTTTAAGATTATGAGCAGCCATAATTTCCATATTATGTCGAAGTATAAGCAGTTTGTCCATGTGAAATTTTGTAGTTTCCTTCACATTATCGGTTGATGCCATCTAAATCTTTAAGATTTTGTGCAATGATGATTTCAATAATAATGTTTTTGAGTTGGAATATGCTTTAATTGAATACTTTTTCAGTCTACAGTATTGAATCAAGGCTTATGACAGGGAACTTTATAGCAATAACATAATTGGAGAAATTCCAGAGGAGCTTGGCAATTTGTCCGAGTTGGTCAGCTTGGATCTTTACTTGAACAAGTTAAATGGTCATATCCCTCCAACTTTGGGAAAGCTTACAAAACTACGCTTCTTGTATGAGCACGCATCTCTTAATTATATTGCTTAATTTTTAGTAATATAACTATTTCTTTTGTTCATCTTGTCCCTTTTTTATTATATAATTTGAAGTTTTATATTCTAGGATGAAGATTTTTGAAGAAAATATTTGCTTTTTATTTTTTGATACACTTTATATTGTTATATTTGGGGTATATATAGAGATTTCCTACCTATAGATAAAGAAATTATTATTTTAGTAGGATTCTAATTAATTACATCATCTCGACTAATTAAGTAACGAAATATTTTAGTCAACATTTCCTCTCAAATTGGTATAAAGATATTACACATGTTCAACTTGTATATCAAGTTTTGAAGATATCTGTTGCAAAATCCTTTAGTTAAGATATGTATCACCTGATCGTTAGAAGGCACATGATATAAATATAAGGAACCATCAGCCACTTTCTCTTTTATGAAATATCGATCAATATTAATGTGTTTTGTTCGGTCATGTTGAAGTAGATTATGGGTAATGCTAATGGCTGCTTTGTTGTCACAAAACAATGATAGACTCTCTTCTTTAAACAGTTTTAATTCTCTAATTAGTTTTTGTAATCATAATAATTCACATATTTCTTGACCCATTGTTCTATATTTTGCTTTAGTACTGAAGCAAGTAACTACATTCTGTTTCTTTCTTTTTCATGTAACCAAGTTGCTTCTTATGAGTGTGCAGTAACCAGTAGTTGACATTTTATTATCCGGAGATTCAGTTTAATTGGCATTTATAGATACTTCTATCTTAAGGTGGGCATTTTTGGAGAAGAACAAACATTTTCCTAAAATAGATTTTAGATGTCGTAATATGCGGAAGACAACATGTAAATGAGTCTCGCGAGAATCATGTATGTACTGATTGAACAGGCTAACTGCATATGCTATATCAGGTTTGGTATGTGAGAGATAGATGAGTCTTCCAACCAATCTCTGATTTTTTCCAAGTTAACCGATGTATCATTACCTTTTTGTAGTTTGTGATTGTTTTCAATGGAAAATATAACCGGCTTGCAACTCATCATACTAGTCTCTTCTATTAAGTTTATGACATACTTTTTTTGAAAAATGAAGATTTTTTTGTTAAATTTGACAACTTTAATTCCCATTTTCTAAATCTTTTATTTCAAACTCTTGGATAAGAAGTTCTTTCAATCAAGTCATCTCTTTTGTATCATCTTTAGTCACCATAATATTATCTACCTAAACAATGAGAAGAGTGACCCCACTCTCTCAATGCTTGATGATTAGGGTATGATCAACACTATTTTGTTGATATTCAAAAGAGATCATAACTATTTTAAACTTTTCAAACTATACTCTTGAAGACTGTTTCAATTCATGTAAGACTTTCTTTAATTTGCAAAACTTTTCTTGCATTCTTTTATCTTCAAATTCTTGAGCAATTTCCATATATACCTCTCCCTTTAAGTTTCTATGGAGGAAGAGATTTTTGACATCAAAATATTGTAAGTTCTAATTAAGATTAATTGCACAAAATTATAATATTTTGATTTTGTTCATCTTTGCGACAGAGACAATGTCTCATAATAGTCAACTCCATAGGTATGAGTAAACTTTTTAGCCACTAGTTTGGATTTATACCTTTCAATCGACTTGTTTGTTTTGTATTTCACAGTAAACACTCATTTGCAACCAACCATCTTCTTTCCCCGTGGAGGTGAAATAAGTTCTCATATTTCCTTTGTTGCCAAAGCTTTCATTTCTTCAATCATGACTTCCTTCCATTTGGGATCTCTTAAAATTTCTCTTCAATCCATTGGAATAGACATAGAATAAACAAACAAGACAAGTGCTCTATAGGAGGGAGATAAAGAGTCATAGGAAACAAAGTTAGACATAAAGTGTTTAGTACAAGCGCTCATTTCTTTTCTAAAAGCAGTGAGTTTATTAGATAAATTACAACATAAAGGTAACTTACCAGTATCTTCGGGAACTGAAGAAGATTATTGACATGGGACAGACTGTATGATGACTTTTTCTGTCTTAACTCTCATTGAATATTTCTTCAAGTCCGATCTATTTAAACATCCAATATTGTCTCTTTGAATAAGATCTTCTAAAATAAAACTCTCCTCTGAATATGACTGTCAATAGTTAACAAGTTGGCATAAGCTCTTCCTTCTCACTCTCTCCTTGAAGAGATGTTGGGTTTGAATTGAAATAAAATTCAAATTCCCTACCAATAACATCCATAGTTATAAAGTATCTTGTAGACGGATGATGATAATACTTGTAATCTTTTTGAGTTGGGAAATATCCAACAAATATACACTTAAGAGTCCTAAGTTCCAACTTGCCCACATTTCTAGCATGGATAAAACAAATACGTCCAAACACTTTTGGAGAAATGGTATATGAATTTTTACCTTGCAAACCCTTTAAAGGACTTTTAAAGTCAAGAGTTTTCGAAAATATTCTGTTGATAAGATAATCAATTAAAAGAACTGTATCTCCCTAGTAACTTTTCAGTAGATTCACGATGAATATAAAAGACTGAGTTACCTTCAATATGTATCTGTTTTTTCTTTCAACGACACCATTTTGTTCACTAGTGTAGACACAACTCATTTGATGGATTATCGCATTAGACTCCAAGTAGGCACAGAATCCACCATCTATATTTTCTATCCTGTTATTCATTATTAAAATCTTGAGTTTAATATCAAACTGTGTACATATCATTTTATGAAATGACTGAAAACATGATGACACATTACTTTTTGCTTTCAACAAATAACTCTATGTTAATCTAATACAACAGTCAATAAAAGTGACAAACTATATATGAACAGATAAATAAGTATTCTGAGTAGGTTTTCAAACATTAGAGTGAATAGTCATTATAGGAGTAAGACTTCTGTGGTTACTCACATGATAGGAACTCTTATGTTTGGTTAGTTAACATGTATCACAAAATAAAGAATTCATAAACATTCTTTTAAACAAGATGGGATATAATTTTTCTAAAATAAAGAATGAAGGATGTCCCAACCGTTGATGCAACTGTCGGATTTCCTGATTGACTTCGGTATTCCCAAAGGTGGCTTGATTCCAAATTACTTTTTGACTCTATGTAAGACATAAATCATCCTACAGTTTACAAGTGCTAATCATCTTTCTTGTTTGAAGATCCTGAAGGATACAATGAGGAAAAAATTCACTTTTACAGTTAAAATCTCTAGTAATAACACTGATGGATAAAAGATTGTTAACAAAAGTAGGCACATGAAGGAGTAAAGAAAGAGTAATGGTGAGAGCACAATTATGAAATCTATTCCAGATACAGGAATATATGATCCATCTGCTATACGGACATTTTCACTTTTAGTACAAGGAAAATAGGTTAGGAAGTCTTTCAAAGAGCCTATTATGTTCATAATTTATAATTCAAGTATCATAATTGAAAGTAGCAAGGAGAGGAGCAATACTTGACTATACCATTTTTGGCGTACCTATAGTTAATGAATGGTTAAATTGAGATATGAGACGCTTCAAGATTTGAATTTTCTCATTTGAAAAAGCTCCAATAGTTGATGAAGGGTTACCTGAAATAGGAATACCCAGTTTTTTAGCTTCTGTCATGGTTTAAAGTAAAGAAGGAAAATAACACCTAATAGCTAATCTCACAGGATATGACAAAATTTCTAATCAGCACCCATGGAGCTAGAAACAACAGGATTAGGCCAGAAAGAGAAATATGTTGCGAGTTTGGAGTCAATGATTGGAAACAGACAGGTCCGGCGGCAGGTGCAGCGACACTTAGAAAAATGGAACCAGAGAACTTCAGGCGGCTCGACGTGTAGAGGAAACAGATTTGAACGGTTTTGTGCGTGGTGGGACGTTCAGCAGGGCAGAACGGCGGAATGTTGCCAACTATGTGAATGTAGGTCTAGAGAGGTGGGATTTAAGCCAGTTTGCATGTGACCAGGTCGGATTCGTGTAGATCGGACTTTTCTGGCAGCAATGCAACACAATTCGGGCTGGATCCGTCCGATTCCAGCAGCACGTGTGGCTTACACGTTTATGCTATGGTGGCTTGTGTGGCTCACGCGCTCTGGAGATGGTCACCTGAGTCAGGGGGCAAGTTGGTGGTGAGGCTGCGACTTCGTTTGGGGTAGTAGTGAGATTAGATCTTGATAAAGTGAGTACTAATTCAGCCTATTTTGCATTTTTAGAGGTTAAAAAACTCTAAAATAGAACGCTAAGATAGTCTTATTTTGACTATGATATTGTGAAGATTTTTGGAGAAAA